CCCCCCCCCCCCCCGCCCAGTCCCACCTTATCGTCACCACCTCCTTTCTCTGGGCTCCACCCATGCCCTCGAGCCCCACCCACCCTCACCTTCCCTCCCCTCCCGCTCCAAAACCCCGCCCCTTCCCGAGAGCCCCGCCCTTCCTCCCGTTCCTGGGCCACGCCCCCAGCTGGCCCCTCCCGCTCCGTGGATCCTTTCTTCCAGCCAGACCCTTCTCCAGCTCCTCCCCTTGTGGGCTCTCGGGGCTTCCCACCTTCCCAAGGCTAGTCCTGCCCCCCCACCCTCTCTGCTAAAGCTCGGGGGACTCTCACCCTGCCGTGGCCCGCAGGCCCCTCTCTGTTCCTTTGGCCCAGGAAGGGCAGGGGAGAGGAGAGCCCTGCCCAGCGCCTCCCAGCCCCTCCAGACCCTCCCCCCAACCGTGGCTCCCCTCTAGTACCTCTCCAGACCCCCAACCTCCCCCCAGCTCCGCTCCAGCCCCTCTCAGGACTTTCCCAGTGCTTCTCCAGACATGCCTCCCCCCTCCCCCAGACTCCCCAAGATGTTCTAAAGACTGGAGTCAGAGAACTTGGGTCAGAATCCCTTCTCTGCTCACGGTTTGTGACCTTAGGTAAGTCTTTCAAGCTCCTGAGCTTGTTACCTCATCAATCTCCAAACATTTATTAAGCCCGAGAAATGCACCAGGCACGATGTGACAAGATGTGTGTGTAATATTGTAATACATAATATTATAACATATGTCATATGTTATAATATATAACATTCATATATTCCAATATACACATAGGTGCACCTATATTCTTCTACAGATTTGTAAGGAGCTAACATTCTGGTGAGGAGATGCATGTATATACATACATATACATACATACATACATATGTGATATATGTACATATAGGATAGAAACCGAAAAATACAAGAATCCATGTAGTTTGTGAGGAAGCTCACCAGCCTCTGTGGGGAGAGGGGGAAGGGGTAAGAAAAGGCTCCTCCAGTAGAAGGTGGAGTTGGAGTAGGGTTTTGAAGGAAATCAGAGATTCCAGGAAGCCTCAATGAGGAAGAAGTACATTCCAAACTGGAAGAGGGTAAAAGAATTTGAACATCCTCTATCTAGAATAAGAGGGCACGAAGGCTAGACTTTCTAGTAATAGGAAGGGAGAACTGTACAAGAAGAATGGAAAGCCGGGAAGAGGCCAGGTTGTGAAGGGCTTTCGAAAGAGTTTCTAGTTAATCCTAAAGGTCAGGAGACAGACTCTGGGGTTTATGGAGTGAGAAAAGGGAGATTCGCCCATTTTGGCAAAAGCACTTGCTGGCGGCATGACGGATGAATTGGAGTGAGAGACACAAGGTAGAGAATAAAATGAAGGTGTCAGATAAGCTGGGCTCTGATGTCCATTCCAAATATAAATCTTTCATTTTTTTTGTTTAATGTTTGCATCCTACAGTGCCTGGCACAATAGTAAATGTGCCCTCAATAAATATTTGCTGCTCGATTAACTCACTGAATTTGGAGGGACATAATTCTGTCGTGGAAGGTGTGGATAAGAAGTTAGGGAACCTGGGTGGAAAGGTGACAGTACAAAATAGAGAAGTCTGGAAGGGGGGGGTGGTTAGGAGGGGTCAAGGGATGGAAATAATGAGCCCGTTTTGGACAAGTGCTCAAAATGTCCCTGGGATATCCAGTTGAATGACTTTGGAAGGTAGTCGGTGATGTGAACTTGAACTCATCAGAGCTGAGGACTAGGTAGATTCCAGGCCAAACTCATAAGAGCCAAAGAGGTAACTTGAAGAAAGTGTAAAGAGGGCGAAAAAGAGAGGGGGTCTGGGGGTAGCTCCAGGACGCAATCGTCCATTTCTAAAGGACAGAACAGGAGAGTCTGAAAAGGAGCAATTCAGTCATACAGAAGGAGAACCAGGAAAGGATAAGATTAGGAAAACCCTGGGAGGAGAAAATGCCCAGTAGAACACAGGGGTAAGCCTTGCCTCAGCTGCCCGTCATCCTGACTTTTGTCCTGCCACTGGACTTTGATGACTCTGGAAGAGAGAGTGAGGCTGCCGACTTTGCGCAACTCTGCCTCGCTTAAATCCAATTCACAGGCAAGTGGAGACATCCCCCATGATGTCATCGGGCCTCTCCGAGAAGGAAGGACAAACAAAAATTCAAGGTTGAGAAGTGAGACAAGGCCATCAGACTCAGTGACGGCATCAGTCAGTGGCCAGCTTGCAAAGGGGTTGAGAAGAGAGAGGAAAAGGAAGGGGAGGCAGCAGGAGCGGATGACTTCAGACATATAAAGATACAGATCTGCGGTAGCGATAAGATGAGAAACTCCAGTGAAGTAGGCACTCAACTGAATGTCTCTGATGAAGAATCTCAGATCCCACTTGTCAAGCACCTGACTGCTTGGGATAAACGAGGCTGATTCTTAGGGTGAGAGCTGGGAGGAAACTTACAGAGATAAAGCCTAACCTCGTTTTACAGATGAGGAAAAGCTGAGGCTTGAGAGGGCAGGTGGCAGGGCCACAATTTGAACCCAGCTCCTCCCACGCTGAATTTAGAGCTCTTTCCATTAAGCCACGCCAATGCAAAAGAGTATTGGTGCCTGCAGGGCTTGGACTCGGAGAAAAGAAGCGGGTTTTCTCCTCTGTAAATTGAGGGAATTAAACTAGACACCTCAGTAAGGTCCCTCCAGATTTAAAACTTATTATACTTAGGGGCGGCTAGGTGGTGCAGTGGATATAGCACTGGCCTTGTAGTCAAGGGGACCTGAATTCAAATCCAGCCTCAGACACTTACTAGCTGTGTGACTCTGGGCAAGTCACTTAACCCCAATTGCCAAAAGAAAACAAATAGAAACAACTTCTATTCAGAATCACAAAATATCAAATTGGAAGGAACCTTATAGATAATTGAATTCAATCTCTTTGGGGTATGAGAAAATAGTCCCAGAAATGGGAAGTGAATTGCCCAAGGTCACACAGCCCAAAAATCAAAGCTGAAAGACGTTTCCACAAGGTCATCTAGCCCAAGTTCCTTATCTTATAGCTGAAGAAAAGATTTAGGGACTTGCCCAAGGTCTCCCATACCTGAGACGTTACCCAGGACCCTTCATGTAGTAGGAATAGTGGGAATTGTCCTGAAATGCGGAGCTTATGAAAGCAAATGCAGTAAGCCCACCTTTAGGGGCTTTGAATATATTATCCTAGGGGCAAGAGGGAGCCACAGAGTTTCTTGAATGAGGGTGATTTCTAGCAGTCATGCTTTTCACTGCAGGCTCAGATCTCATTAGCTTTCTTGACTGCAGCTGATTCATACTGAGCTTCTAACAGTCCACTGAAATCACATGGTCATTTTAAAACAAGTTTTCCCAACTTATCTTTGTGGAACACACATTTACTTTTTCAAATCCTCCTGCTCAGAAAGCAGTTGAGAGGAACTAGAAAGAAAAAAAGTGTTCTCACCTATAAGAGATCACTTAATTATTCAAAAACAAAACATGACATTCTGTGGAGTCTACAAGAAAAACCTAATTCTGCTTGTTACCCCTTTGTCACCTCAGAGAGATGAAAGGGCAGGCAAGCCCTCTTCCCTGGGTTCTAATCGCTGAAAGGTACAAAGATCACAGTGGCTGGGAGGATCAATAATCCCAGAGATTGCTGTTATTTTTCCATGTTGTTTATCACTGACCTGTCAATAGTGTTTGATGTTGTTGACTTTAAGATAAAAAGTGTTGCAACTAAGAACTTTCCCCTAAAA